CACTTAAGGAGATGTGGAGACTCTAATATCAGAGGGGAAGGTTGGAAAACAGTCATTGAGTTACTGTGTTGACCAAGATTTCAAGAATATTCATGAAAATGTTAACATTACTCATTCGACATTTACGGAATACTAATTTTGGGGCGGCCTTGTACAAAACCCAGACACACAGATAAGAACTATACTTGGATCTTGCTCTTGAGATCTTCTCACCCAAGCTGACTCGTTTCTGGTTTTATCTTGCCAGTAAAGGCTGTGGTGCAATGTGTATTTTTCCCCTACTCCCCATTTTAACTACAAAATATTTTACTATGTGTGTCTCTGTGGGCAGGGTAAAGAGATAACTATATGAGTTAGTCTGACACTGAATTCTAAGTGCTTTTCCCCTGGATCAGTTTGTCTTGACTAATGGAAAAGTTTATGTCTAAATAATGATTTGAACTTTGTCAAAACAACCTGTAAAGAGTTGCGTACTTATGTAATGGAGGATTGTTTGTTGGTTGGAATTATTGGCACTTTTTTCTGCATTTTTTTGCTTATTTTTAAAATAATACTTATTGCCTTTGTAATAAAAAGGGAAGGAAATCCTTTATTCCAAGAAGAGCAAAAAAATCTTTTAACTTACATCCATTTGAATTTAAGAACTTCAGAAGTTAAAAGAAAAATGAAAAGTAAAATAGTCATTTTCTTACTTGTTCATTTTATATGATGGCAAAGATTAGTTTTGGCTTTTGGGGTTCAAGGAATTTAGAACTCAATTTCTTATATCGAATAGGATTTTTTTCCTCTGGAACAATTGTTGAAAGCTATGTAACTGTAAACTCACAACTCTTATGAAACAATGTGTCTTTTATTGTTCTATTGGCACAACAGTGGTGGGATTTTGTTTTGTGTGACCACACTCAAGAATCTGGAAACTCTCTTTACAGCTTTGCCCTCATGTCAATAGGAGAAACTGTTTTCATATCAACAGAGCAATGAGTCAGTGAAATCACAAACAGAATAATCATTTCTTAACATTTTCATGTACATCAGAATATTTTATCCCCCTTAACAATTTTATGAGATATTATTACTACATTGTATGTGAATAAATCTAGGCTAAGCAGTAAACTAGGATTAATATCTTGTTTGTTTTCTGATTTTTTAAAAAACATTCAGTCTATGCTGAGGTAAGACTGTGGAAGGTCTTGTTTAGCAAGTTAAGGAAATTTAACTTAATTCTAAAGGCAATGGGAGGTTATTAAATTTCTTTGAATAAAAGAACGATAGTATTGGTGTGAACTTGCAAAAGATTGACCTGTAATGATGTATTCTGTATATTAGAATATGAATTCTAAGGTAGGTAACTAGCTTGGAATCTTTTAACAGGAGAGATATGAGTCATAAGAGCCTAAATTGGGGTGCTACTAGTGGTCATGATTATAGTGGTAGTGGAGGAAAGAGCAGTTGAGAGAGCCGTTACTAAAGAATTGATTACTCAAAGCAAAACAGTAAAAATACTAGAATGTAAACTCCTTGACAGCAGAGAACTTGTCATTTATCTTTTTTATTTTCCCTATGCATAGAATTATGCCTTGGACATATAGGCACTCAATAAGGGTTAGTTGAATAAATTAAGATAAAAGCAGTGTAATCGAGTGTAATAGATGCTATGACAGGGGCAGAAAGGAAGACTTTATAGAAGAGATACTTGAATCATGTCTGGTGCATTTAGCTAGAGAGTTTTAGGAAGACAAGGAGTGGAGAGGACATCAAGGCAGAGGGAAGAGCCCAGCTCTGAGGCATAAAACAGCAGCATGTGGGGATTGACAAGTACCAGCAATCTGCCATTTCTGAAGGGCACTGCAGCAGGCAGGAAGGAGTAGAAGATGGTGCTGGACTTGATGACCTGGGTATCAAGATAAGGAGTTTTGACTTACTGTGTATTTTTAAATATTTGAGTGACATGAAGAGGTTTTTACTATAGGAAGAGATCTAGTGGAAGTGAGTAGAAGGTGTAGCAAGATCTCCTACATCTCCCCTGTGTTTAGAGTAAAGCCTTTGCAGGCAGAGTCAAATTAGGAGACTACTGCAACAATCTATGAAAGAGGTGATAAAGGCCTGGATTAAGGAAGTGATGACAGGGATAGAGAACATGGCAAGACTTTGAGAAAATGTAGGTGTTAAAAAATAAAAGATGGGTGATGAATTAAAGGTACAGGAGGGTAAAACAGACAGTGGAATCAAGGATGAATCCCAGGGGTCCAACTAGTCCAAAGGTGGTGCAACATGCTGAGAAATGGAAAATAGGAGGAGGAAGTGAAGGAGAGAGTTAGGAGAAGGAAAAAATGGATTAAATTTTAGTCATATTGACTTTGAAGTGTCAGTGGGACAGGCAGGTAGGTTGTGTGGAGAGTGACCTGGGCCAGAGATGTGGTTTTGGGAGTTCTCTGGGTCAAATTAAGACATGGAGGTGGGTAATATTGTATTAGGAGAGTGTGTGGAGAGAAAAGAGATGTAGATTGAAGATGGAACTCTGGAGAATACTCACATTAAAGAGTCAAGTGGAGGAAGACAAACCAGCAAAGGAGACCAAAACTGAATTGTCAGGGTATTAAAGTAGAACCAGAAGAGCCTTTGTATCAGACTGAATAGTTTGACTCGTTGAAAGCATTAAAAAATCATGGAGGGAATAAGGGGAATTTCAATGAGGAGGAATTTAGACCAGAAATTGTCACTCCATGAATTAATATTAAACGTGTTTTGGGACAGGATTTGTCTTAAGAGTTTTACAGAGCTTTGCCCTGAAAGAACATGTGAACATGTTGGTTTGCATTTCGAATTCTGTTGCACTCGGAAGGGTATCTCTGAAAGGCAGTAGCGGCTGTATCCCACGAGGCGCCGCGTTTCTCAGACCTAAAGAATTGGATTTGCTTTGTAAAGCACAAGTGAATCTGTTAAAAACTATAGGCTGAGAGCTGACAATGGAGTGCCCTCCAGAACAAACAGCTTCCCGGAAACGACAGCTTCCTGAATGGCTAAAAGCAAAGCTTTTGTTTAAACCACTCTAGACTACCTGTCTCCATTCACAATAACCTAATGAACATGGAGCCTACATATCTCTGTTTAACCCCTCTGTTTAAATGATAAACTTACCTTAGAATTTAGAAATTAGCCTTTGAAAGACTTTGTAACCATTTGTTCACGTAAATAGAATTAGTTAAAGAATCTGTAGAAGCCTTCTGTAAAAGCCTTTTGAAAATCTGTTAACCTGAGAGGAACTATCTGTTGTTATGTAAATCTGTTACCCCTGACGATTGTTCACTATTTTCTATAAGTTACCATGTAAGACCTCATTCGGGGCTTTTGAGACCAACGGAGAGGTCTAAGCCCCCTGAGCTCCCGCTTTGCCTATAATCTTTATAAACTTATAAAACTATATCTTTGTCTCAGTGTATTCTTTTATTTCTTCCATTTTCCATTTCTCTCTATTATTTTCTTATCCCTTGCAACTCTACCAAACGGACCCAGTTTTTTGCAGGGAACACTGGCCACTTCCCCGCAATAAATGCCATTAGGATTGAAGGGAAATAATCACTTGAAAAATGATCACTCAATTTGAGAAAAAGAAGGTCGCAGATACCTTTTCTGTGAAGTATTTCAGCAGACTGGTGCTGAAACAGATTTTAGTAAACTCAGAACTAATAGATCCCAAGTCAATAATGACACTATTCCTCTAAACATCCAACTGTGAAAAGGAGGAAGAAAGAGAGTGGCAGCTAAAGAGAAAGCCAAGACTGGGGAACAAAGTTATTTTGTACATTTATCTGTTTTATAAAGATGGGAGGATGCGAACATGGCCTCCAAATCTTTATCATCAGTCTGACCAACATCACCTGAGCTCGTGTTCTTATGTCCATATGAATGTTTGATACATCTTGACATTCCAGGCACCTCAAATTCAATATCCCACCTACCATGCTAAACTAGCTCTCCCTCCTGTATCCCATACCGTATTTCAGTAAGCCAATCTAGACACCTGTAACTTGTCCTTCACCAACCACCTCCAACATATTACTGCCTCCTATATATCTTGAATTATATATACATTTCTATTCCCTGGTACAGATCCTAATCCTCTCTTAAGGAGACTCCATCCTCCATTTGTATCAGAGTGATCTTTCTAAAATGAGCCTTTGAACTGCCTGTCCCCTTTCTGCCAGACACTTTGATGGCCACCCATTGTCCACAGGATAAAGACCTAAGCTCTTTCACAAGAAACTGCAGTCTGTAGCATTCATGCATGACCTAACCTCTGCACACCAAAGAGGACTCCTCTCTAGTAATACCAAAATGACTGTAGTTCTCTGAATGCAACTTCTTGTCACACTTTTTGCTGCTGCTCCGGCTTTCCCCCTCTATCTAGAATACCATTCTGTACTTTCTTTGATGAGTTAACTCTTACTCATCTTTTAGGGCTTCACCTAAATATCATACCCTTTATTTAGTCTTCTCTTAAACCCTCCCATCATCTCCCAGGGTGGCTAAGTGCCATTTCATGATACTGTTGTAGTGCCCTATGCAGATTCCTTTGCACTTGGGAATTGCTGAGGTGATTGTTTAGCTGCACTAAGCAGTGGATGGGAAAGGCAAAGATGTTCAAGGGAGAAGGAGAAGCCATAGGAAGAGGTCTGAGAAGAGATGAGAGAGAATGGAATAGGAATAATATATTATGGAATAACTTTGAATAGCAAAGAAACCTTTACCAATGTGCCTGAGAGGAAGGAGGCAGAGATGGAGGCTGATGAATGTAGTAGAGAATGGAGTTTCAAGCTGAAGGCTCTATTTTATTTGTTAAATAGGTGGTTGGACAGAGCAATTGTTCAACCAAAATTTGCTGAAGATGGTGGCAGTGAAGAAATACACGTGACATATTTGCTGGGGAAGTAAATGCACATATTAGATTCAAAGACCCTAGAAATGTTTTATTCCAGAATATGGCATCTCCTAAGGCTCATTCATATACTTGAAATTCTTTTTCGAGGGAAAGATTTAGAAATACTTGTGGTATTTACTCTGCACAAGTGTGCAAAGGCTTGTGCCTGAAGATCTTTGCCTTTCTGCCAGGTTGCAGACTTGCCACTAGAGCTGGGATTGGCCACTGTGATATTGCTGTTAAGGGAGTCCAGTGAAGCATGACTCATGGCAAGTCCGTCCACACTGTGGGAAGAGTAACTGTAAATAGTCTTGAGAAAGGCTGATTTTGTGTTAGTTTCTTGCTTACAAATAATAACATAACATTTGGGGAAGAATGTGCAACAGAGGATCCCATAGTTAGATATTAAAATGACAATAATTTCTACAGCTGGCAAGTATTTGCCAAATGTGGTAGCATAGATGGGAATAAATGTGATCCAAGCTATGAAGTAAATGAGCATGCCAAATGTTATGAATTTGGCTTCATTGTAATTCTCAGGTAATTTCCTGCCTTTGAAAGCACATATGAAGCAAACGAAGGCAAGGATGGCAATGTAGCCCAGCATGGTGCCAAATGCAAGTATGGATCCCTCCTCACATTCCAGGATAATGACTCTGGGCAAGGAGACATTCTCCTCTACAGCAGGTGCTGCAAAGGTTAGCCAGAGTGTGCAAATGACAACTTGGATACCTGTGCAAGTGAAGATAATAGGGATCGGTTTATAGAGGCACTTTAGGAAGTTCTGCAACTTGGGATCAAAGCTGAAGGCTAGCAAAATTTTCAGGGATTTCATCAAAATGCAGGAGATGCAGAGAGTAAAGCTCACACCAAACAGTGTCTGCCTGGTTTTACATGTGAAGTCTTGTGGTTCTCCAACGAAAAAGCCCGTGCTGATAAAGTTGAGGAAATGACAGAGGAGGATCACATAGCAGACCATTAATCCTCCAGATGATTTCACAACGGGCGTGTTCAGGTTTCTCGTAAATATTATGCCAATGGCCAGAACAAATATGATTCCCAGTAGGGAGAGGGCCAGGAGCAGAATAGCCAAGGAGTCATTCCAGTTGAGATATTCCACTTCCTTTTCAAAGCACGTAGTGCTCCTTACAGGAGCCCAGTGAGTTTCGTTGTTGCATAAAAGGCAGTGATCCATATCTAAAAGACAGAGGTGATTCAGTTACATTGCAAACATTTAAACTAGGTCCACAATACTGGAAATGAGACGACTCCTCAGTAATAGTCCTGAGTAGAAAACAGATATAAATAATTGTCATATTGATTACTTATTAAAATAAAACATGCACAGACCCAAAGAAAATGAGAGAGAAGGGGTAAAGGAGAAAGGGGAAAGAAGAGAAAAAAGAGAAAGAAAAAGGCCAGCTGGGCTGAGAATCTTCAGGAAAGTAATATATTCAGGATAGACGCTAGCCTCTTAGGAACTTGCTATTACAGGTGGTAGTTCAGGGACTCTGTTAAGAATAAGAGCATAGTAGAGGGGAAGGGCGTGCCTCTAACCCTGGCTTGGGTGAGGCAAAGACATAAAGTGTAACCATAATGTTTGTACCCTCATAATATCCTGAAATAAAAAAAAAAAAAGAATAAGGGCTTTGGAATCAGGCATAGCTTAAGTCCTTTTCCTTTCTCTACCACTTATGATTTCTGTAATCTTGAATAAACTAACTGAACTTTCTGAGCCTATTTCCAAATTCTTCTCTCTCCCTCAAAAAAAAACCCTGTCTCATTGGGGTGCTGCATCCAATGAGATAATAAATATAAAATGCTTCACACAGAGGATTGCACACAATAGACACTCAATATATGGGAGCTGCTATTATGACTAAGGCTAGTTCTTTTAAAAGACCCAATATGGATGGGTCACCCTAAAAGCTTCAAGTCTCTTTCTAAAAAGCAAGATAATACAAAGTTGCAATCAATGACACTTGATGAAGAAATAAAGTTTATTTTTTCCCCAGAGGTTAGTGAATTTCAGCCTCTCACACTGGCAGTGATAAGGTTGAAAAGCATTATGCTGCTTCTGACAGCAGGGCAGCATGAATAATTGATGTTAGAGTCTCCGAAAGTGGGATTGCATTTGCTTCCCATTCCAACCTCCTAAAGAAAGTGGGCCCCAACAGCTCCCCAAAAGCCCTACTCAGGGCATTCACCTGATTACACTCCACACTGCGCTTTCGACTTTTGAATTTCTGCATTCTCTTCTTTATTAACCTCAAAGTAAGATTGTGTTTCTGTTTATACACTTTATGACATTTCTAGTCTCCTCCTCTTTCCAAACCCTTTTGCCCTACAAATATTCATTGTTTTCTGTTTTCCTCTCAACAGTAGCTAGTGTCTGTCATTTCATTCATTCAGTGGACCATTATTGGTCTTATCTAGGTGTGAGAGCTCTGTGCTAGAGATGTACAGAAGAACAGCAGATGATGTCCTTTTGGGTTACCCCAACTCCTAGCTTTTCCTCCAAGGTGTCTTCAGTCTTTTACACTTGTTCTTGGAGACAACTTGCCCTGGTTATCAAAAGACAACCCAGATAGAACCTTGGAAGACTTCTGTGCATCTTTATGGGAAATAAATGTTACATAACTCTCTTTGTGTTTTTATTCTCTCACTTGGAAGATAGTTGCTAGATATCATATTGCCTGAGAAACCCTCCCCCTTATCTAATTATTTAGACAGCATAGTCCCTCTCAGGATTGGGATAAACAGCATCTTTGTGAGACAATGACAGAACATGAATATTGAGATATTTTCATTGGTATACTTCTCTGCTTGAAGTCAATAAGAAAAAAGAATAAGCATTTGGAACTATTCTAGCTCTGGGATTCTTTTATATAAGACAAATAGGAATGCTACAATAAACAAGGGAGTATGATGCTTTTACAGTAGGCTTAACTCCAGGGAAAGTGCTGAAAGTTCCTTTTAGGGCTCTTAAGGCTGCTGACCTCACTCTTGCACTTTAAATTGTGTATTTTGCTCTGATCTTGTCAAATTGTTAAAGATAGGGTTGTCAAACAATCAGTTACTAGCATCTCATCTCTGTCAGTAGTTGGCCCCTTTTGTCTCACAGAATGAAAAGTTTCATTCTTTTTACGCTTAACTTTTGCCTTTTGGTAGAAATAAGATCGCCAGGATATGCACACCTGTATCTTAACTCCAGGTGCCTCTGGGTCTCTATTATGATCAGTTCAGTTAATTCAACATTTACTTATTTGTACTTTTTGTGCCCCAATTACAAGCCAAGCACATCTTTATGGGGATACCTGGACAAAACTGACAGAGAACTCGCATTGCTTTAAGAGTTCCTAGAGAGAAAGTATGTGTGAAGGAATGACATTTTCCCTTGGAAATGAAGTTATTTTTACATCTCTATTATTTATTGGTCATGTATCTGTTGATAAAATAGAGCAAATTCCACGATAAAATGAAATTTCACAGGAACTTAATTTAGCAGGAGCATGGGAAGCTTTTTTATCTTTTCAAGTGAAAAAATAAACCAAAATAAAAGTCATGAAAAAAAAAATCATCCTAAGAGCAATGGTTCAAGTGTATCACTATCCATGTCATAGTGACTTAATTACCTGTCTGATTACTGTAGTGATTTTCAGGACAGTTTACACATTCATAGCAGCAGATGTGTTGACTTCTTGTAGTTTTCTTCATTTGTCCAGGACTGCATTCCGGAGAGCATTTAGATTGAATTTGCTATATTAAAAATGAAAAGAAACCCCAAATAAAATTTTAAGAAAAATTATCCCAATTATCTTTGACTTAATTTAAAGATATACTTTATAATATTTTGATCTTTTTTCATAACACTACAGATTTTTTTGCCATCCTAAGAAATATGAACAAACTTAAATATATGAAATGTTTCAGATAGAGAAACTGCTTTAGGAAGAACACAGTTTTTGTCACATTAATAACTTCTGTAAGCAAATTATGGAAATTAGCTCTTTCAGAAAGTCCCTAGAAGGCCTCACTGAGATGACGACATTTTAGAAAAGATGGAAAGTATGTGAGAAAATTAACCACATGAACAACAGAGAAAATTATTACCGGCAAAGGAAACAACAGGTGCAAAGTCCTTGATTGAGCTAGAAGGGAAGGTATGCATGGAAGGGCAAGAAGCCTGTGGGATCGCAGGAGGGGTTGAGAGTAGGGAAAGGGAGCGGGATATGAGGTCAGGGCGGAACAGTGGAAGCGGGAGGGCAGGTCATGTAGGATTTATAAAGACACTGGCTTTTACCCTGAGAGAAATAGGAGGCCATGGAAGGGTTCTGAGCAGAGCACTATATTTTACAGGAATTACTCTGACTGCTGTTTTGTGAACAGACCTAAGGGGTCAGAGTGGAGGCAGAGAGCAGTTAGCAACCTTCTATTAATACAATAGAAGATCACAATGATCTGGGTGAGAAGTGATTGGCAGCAGCTGTGGGCTGGGGAGTAAAAAGTGGTCAGATTCTGGACACATTCTGAAAGTGAAACTCTCACTGAATATGGAGTATGACTGAGAGAGTGGGGGCAAGGACTCCAGCAGGGCTTTTCATGAGTGACTAGGAGAAGGGGATTGCCATTTATTGAAATGGGGGTGGGTTTGGGAGAGACTGTCAGGAGCTTTGTTTTGGAGACATTAAGTTAAGATGACTATTAGACATCCAAGTAGAGATGTCACTTAGGCAGTTGAGTATTTGTTTGGGTTGGAAGTCAGAAGATAAAATCCTGGAGTCCTCACCCCTCTATACAATGACATTATTTAAAGCTCTGAGCCCAGGTAAGATCACTAAAGAAAAGCGTAGACAAAAAGAGAAGCGGTTCTGAGCCCTGGGCACCCAAATGGTTAGAGGTAGTGTGAATGACAAGGAACCAGCAAAGGAGATAGAGAAGTAGTGGCCAGAGAAATAGGAAGAAAATCAAGGGAGTGTACTGTCATGGAAGCAAATAAGGAAAGTATTTTATGGAGGGGAGAATAATTAGCTGGTAAGTGAAGATGATATTTGGATTTATTAACACTGGTGAGCTAGACAGAAATAATTTGAATGGATTGCAGAGGGTTCAAAAGAGTATGGAAGGAGAAAAATTGGGGCCAGAGAATGTATTCAACAGAAGTTTTGCTGTAAGGAGAAATAGAGGAATGGGTAGTATTAATACATGGAGGAGGATGTGGGGGAACAATGGAGTGTCTTTTTTTTTAAGATGGGAGAAATGACAGCATATTTATATCACCCTGTAGATAATGCAGAAGAGAGAATAATTGAGAACACTGGAGAGAATGTGAAATTGCCAGTGCGATATCCTTCGATAAGTGAAAGAGGTTGGGACCCAGAGGTGAAGTACAGGAGCTGACCTGAGCTAGGAGCAGACAGTCCACCCACAGTGCCAGATAGAAGGCAGGGGTATGGGCACAGAGGTGGCAGCAGGGGGACACTGGAGGTCTCTTCTGATTGTTTCAGTTTTGTTAGTATAATACAAAGTAGGATCAATGGAAAGTGAGGTTGGGGAAGATGTATTGAACCCAAAAGATGAGAAGAGAAAGTATAAAATAGCCATCTAGGAAGGTGGAGAGCTAATGGCCTAGGGCGATAGTCTGGCCCGCAGCATTGAGAGCCCACTGGAGGTTACAGATCATGAATTTAAAGTGAGAACAGTCAGCAAGGTTTTCCTTTTCCTTGTGTGTGTGTGTGTGTGTGTGTGTGTGTGTGTGCGCACGCCAGCTACATTGATTAGGGAATTAATGTAGAGGCTATATTGATTAGGCAGAGAGTTGAATTTAACCAGGATTGTGTTTTTGTTGAGTAAGTAGGATGAAGAGAGAGAGGGGTAAGGGAATTGAGGGTACAAGGGAGCATTACACCTGTTGACCACGGAATTTAAGGATGGAAGGTGGGGACAGTGAATGGGCAGGAGGATCACTGGAGGTTCCTGGTGGGGTCAGTGACTTTTGCAGTTGAGGTACAAACTTGACTTGGATGCCAAAAAAATAGCCTACAACACAATTACCTGAAGATACTTGAACTCATTTTTTGCTTCTTGGTCTGTGATGATGAAGACATCATTCTGCAGATCATATTCTGCCATCTTGTTGACAGTCATGTGGTCATTGATCTCCTTCCAGAGCACAACATCATATCCAGTATTTAAGTCCCCATGGGCATCAAAATGAAATGAATTCCCTCCATCAGTGAATGTCACATTTTTCAGCACATCAAGTAACTATAAAAAACAAAAACAGAAACAAATGTTGATCATAAACATTGTAAGTGTACCTCTATCATTCTATTTATAACACTGTCTTATAACGAATATCACTTAACAATAAGAAAGAGGATTCTGGGGGAGGGGGTTCTTAACCACCTGGCAACAATTTGAGAATAAATTTCACTTGGGTTCTGGTTTCATTTCTGTCAAAGTCTTGCTATGTGAGTTTGAGAAAGCAAGTTAATTTCTAGGCATGGCAGCTTCTCTAGCCTATAAAATTGAAACTCTGAGAATCTGCGTTTATTCACGTTGTCCAGTTTCAGAATGGGTCCTCTCAAGCAGATACCTGGCTTCTATCTCTCATTAGTGCAATCTTGACAGTTACAATTACTTTCTTTTTTATTACTTCCAATGGTTCTTTAGTCTGTTTTAATGAGACTGGGTACACAGTAAAGTGATCTCTAAATTCTATTTCTAATTTAATTCATAGAACATTTTCTTTTAGCTTGGAAGGAAAGAAATGTAATGTCTGAAAAATTACTTGTCTTGCTACTCAATGTGTACAGTGAGAGCTGGTATATGATACAGTTAGGGCAGGAAATGTTTTATTGACAAATGGGGCAGCCATATTGAGCTTGTGCTGCAGTGGAGGAGCGCGAGGGTAGGGGGTAGGGGAACAGGCTGCCATTCTGGCTTCACTATTAACTTGATCTATAAGCATGGCCAAGTAAATACCCTCTCTGAACGCACTCATAATGGCCCACTCACGACATAAGTCTATGGTTCCATGTGGCTTTGCAAAATCTTTAGAATGAGGCAGAAATTATTTTATTCAAATAGAATTATTCTATTCTGTCCCTTTTCAGTTAATCTTTTATGAATGTTTCATTTTTGTCATTAGAATATAAGAATATCAAGTTATATTTTAAGGTAAAAGTACTAATTATGAAAGTCATGTCAATGACCAAATATCACTTTAGCAAAATCTCTATGTGTGTGTATTGATTTTATTATATGTCACCACAGGTTTCCTAGTTCTTTTAATGAATGTAAATTCATGAGATAACTTTAAAGAAGGAGGATATTAGATTGGATATGATGGAATTAACTCATGAAATTTTATTCTTGCAATTACCTAGGAGAAAAAAAATAAGGGAAAAAAACCAAAAGGATATATAAGGGCCTACCTTCAATATTCTTACTTCTACCTATGTACAGGTTTTTCTTCTGTTCCTTCCTTAAGCAATATGCACATGTAAGCCTCAGTAACTCAATTCTTTAGGGAGCATATCCTCTTCCACTCTTGTGTTTGAACAATAATTTCAACCTATTTTTTCCTGCATTATATTAGGTTTTACAGGGTAAAGTTCTGACACATATATGTTCTGTAAATGATAACATTGTATAATATAAATAAACTTGCATAATTTTATACCTGTTCTTACAGGAAAGAGGGTTGAAACAAATGAAACAGTACATTCATTCCCCATTAAGTATGACAGAACATTTAATCTGGACTAAGGTAAATTTTGAACATTAATACTCCAGTTATTAAGCTACTAAATGCTTTTTCCATCAATTATTTATCATGGAGACTCTGAAATTCTCAGTAAGTTGACACTACAAAATTCAGAGAATGGGATTTGTATTTCAATTATTATATTATTCACTTGTGTGTAGTAATGCCCTGTTTTTAAGAACACAAGGCCTGGAGGCCACACTAATTAAGGTGTTATGGTTGACATTGTTTTCCATTCCCCTAACTGTGCTGATGTCTGCTCTATCTCCATAAGTAAGCTTGCTGTGGAAAGAGGTATCTATGCCACTAAAACAGCAGAGGAAACAGCCTTACATCTCTGTCCTGGTGCCCAAAATATGCCTATTTCTTTTTTGTAGTGTTCTATGCTGTAGCAAAAAGCACAGTGAACTAAGGCTAGGACAGTTTCATTGATAACTATGTGAATGACCATGAGCTACACCTTTATTGTCGAGGTCCCCTCCATCTCTAAATAGCTACAATGGCCACCAATAACAGCTTCTCTTACCATTTCTTTAAAATAGAGTGTAAAGGATATGAGTCCTGTGGACCTACCATAATATTTTAAAGATTAGAGGTGACGTATATCAGTACCTAGAATCATAGGTCTTAAAAATTATTAGTTATTAGTATTATTACCACTCCAAAATCACTATCGTGTCTCTCCTAACTTTGGACTAATATGCAACCACCATTGCTACACTTGCATGTCTCATAGTATCTTCAAATTCAACATCTTCAAAATGCAATGCTTAATATTTCTTCTCCACAACACACTTCCATTTTCCTCTCTGTTTTCATCTCAATAAATTGCACCAGTTGCCCAAATTTGAAATCATTTGCAAGATCTTTGCTTCTCTTTGTCATCCTTTACATCCAATCTATCTACACATGCTCTTCAACCTTCCTCTTAAATATCCAAGTATACATCTCTCCATCCTTACTGTCACTTCTGTAGTACAGACATTCTTATCTTATGCCCAGATTACCAAATTGGTTTTTCTACCTCCAATATTGTGTTCCTCTAATCAATTCACACTGTAATTGGAATGCTATTCTATGATAGAAAACATATCACATCACTCTCCTGCCTAAAAGTATCTTTAATTGGTTCCCTTTTATTCTCTCAAGTCCAAACCTTAAAACGTAATTTGCAACCTTTCTATTAATAGTTAAAGTGTGGTCTTTGTAGTACCAGTATCAGCATCACCTGGGCTGGGCAGTTGTTAGAAATACAGACTGTCAGGTCCCACTGTGCAACAACTGAATTAACATTTGCATGGTAATAAGACTCCCAGGCAATTCAACTGCACATTAAAGTTTGAGATGCCCTGATTGTCAAGCCTTTAGTAATGTGTCCTTCACTAACTCCTCCAGTCTTATTTGTCTACAGTTTCATGCAAGACTTCATTTCTATGGCACTATTCTCTGTCCCCTGAAAATGTCATGCTCTCTCTTCTGGGATTTTGCTGGAGTATTTCTGTCCTGGCTAACTCCTGTCTGTCCATTGTATTCACCACAGATGCCATGTTTTTTGGAGAATGTTCTCTGAATTGGTAATACTGAATTAGCTGCCTCAGTTATGTGCTTCTTTGCTACCTTGTACTTATATAAAATGTTGTAGTTCATCACCCTACATTGTAATCAGCTCCTTAAATGTTTGATTGTATACCCTACTGAACATATGACTTCTTCAAGGAGAGAACTTTGTCTTGTTCATAATATCTTCAACCCTCAACACAATGCCTGGAACATTGAGACATTCAACAGATATTTGCTAAATAAATATGTGAATAGAAGTTTGACTGTTAGACATTCT